TGTAAATTGAAAAAGTCAAATAAAATGATTCGAAATAAATTCGTCGCTGGAAATATTTTTTTTCAAATATAAAAAGATCTGTATAAAAATGCATATTTGTAATAATATTCTTCTTTCTTTTTATTTCTTTTACAGCAATTTAAAAATGAATGAGATTAACAAGAGCATTCTAGTTTTTATCAGTTTTTGTACGTAAATAGATTATATGTGATAATGTTTACACATATCTTTTGTAAATCTCAGTTTATTGGTCTTATATGTATTTTAAATATACTTGTTGTATATTTTGTGTATTTTTTGTAAATGTGAGAAATGTGAGACTTGAATAAACGAATAAATATTATAGGAGATGTTTGTTCAAATTATTATTACACGTATTGATATCGAAATATATTGAACTTTGAAATAAGTTTTATTGATGTGAATTAAATCTTGATAAAAAATGGACGAAATATCCTTAAACATATGTCATAAATTTTACTTTATAAATTAAAATACAGCATACATGATTTTGAGAAGAAGAAAAATATTCTGTATATGAAATGCGTTGTTTAAAAACCCCAAGCAAACAACCAAAAAACACACACAAACATTTATACATCACTAAGTGCAGTTCATCCTGTTATAAATATGGAACTGTTCTTATCTTTTAAATATATAAATAACACATATGTAAAAATGCTTAATTTCTGTCCTTATAGCCAAGAATAAAATAAATATTAAAATGAACTTTAATCTTTTTATAAAAATATAATTAACAGTGGAATAAAAAAAGCTTTTACATACAATTGCACATTTATGTTGATTTTAAATTAGAAATATATTTATTAGGCAAATTTAAACAATTCATTACGAGAAACAAGGCATTTTGTTACGAGACAAAAACGAACTTTTGATGCTGAAAAGTACCAAAAACAAACATCTTATTTTCGAGCAATTCATTTAATTAAGGAAAAACAAGTATTCTTTTGCTAAATCATTGCAGCTGGTAAACACAAAATCCCCGTAATTCTTAATGATTATATTATCACGCAAACTTCGTGCAAGAACTGGTGGCAATAAGTGCAATTTGTTATTTATATTCATAGCTTTAATTGGTTTCTTGATATCGCCAATGAGTTTGAGTGAAATCAGTGCAACAGTCCTGATATTATGTGTGTGTTCTCTCCCCTTTATCTGTAGTAACTTGACACCAGGTGACAGGGTGACAACAATGTTAACTAATGTTCTCCGCCTTCAACAGTATCAAATTACACAATATTATGGCAATACCAATGGGCAAACATGTTTCCATTCATTAGGAAATAAGAATTTGTTAAGATTAAGTAAAGATGAAAGGACACGCAATCTGTGGAGACAATATAAAGAACTTGACCTTTTGATAGCAAGTTATTGTCAACAGGTGCCTCGGAAGAAATGTTATGTGAAAGCATAAGGTGAATCAAAATGTATAATATCTGCGAGAATATACCACCCGCATTGATGGATGCACCAGAAAACATACAGTCATACAGGATAGCATTGCGGTGAATTATTAATATCATGGAATTATTGTTTCTTTTTCTGTTTCCATTGAATTCTGAGGAGCTCCACTGAGGTCCAAAAGCCTGCATAAACAATTAAAAACCCTGTTAATAAATCAATTTGGGCATTTAAAATGAAAAAGAAAATATAAAAGAAGAAGATTATATTTAAAGTCAATATCTAGTACGAATAATAGCCCGATTTGGGAAACAAGCATTTTAAAAAAAAACTTTTCATTTTTAGGTTCATTTGCACGATAAAAATGAGTAACCCTGAAAATAGAGTAAGCGAATGATATGAAATTTTGCACACAAGTTACTGGTTTAAAATATCGAGAAGAAAAATCAAGCCCCGTAAGGTAGAAAAAGATAAGTGTAGTCCCAACAATTTTAGGTATTGATTTGTTTCATTATTTTGTAGTTACTTTCCTTACATATAAAATTAACAAAATTGTTTTGATTTAAATAAATATTTCAACTTGAAAGTTATGCTTTTTGTTTTTCGTTATTATAGTTGTTTTTTTTTATTTTTGTTGTTTTTTAGTTAGAGTACCTTTTGTTTGTATACACAATATCTCATAAAATTATTTCCAATTTTACAAATGGATATTTTTGTCATAAATGCTCTTTAGTTTTGATCTGGCTTCCTTTAACTGCTGAAAACAATTTGCATGTTGAACATAAATCACTGAAAACAATAGAAACTTGGACAGACAATAGAGAATTTGGATGTCTGAATTTATGCCAGCCACAATCTGTATTACACAAGCGCCTAATATTAGCTAATTAACGGATCTGGGTCGTCGAAAATGCTTGCTTTTTCAACAACACGTGTGATTCTGTTTTCTTCATCTACATCAACAATAAAACGTATTCTGCTTCACATAATATTGTTCCGCGATGCATTACCTATGTATTTCTCAACGAGCTAATTCTAAATTGTCTTCTCCTTTTCTTGGCATATTTACTATGAATGTCTGAGAAATATCCACCAAGTACTTTTTAAACGGTCTTACTTTAATTATTTTATTTCTGTGATTATCTTTCTTTAACGTTGCCTGTTATTTTAAAAATAATAATATTGTTCTTTTTGAAATTATTCTTTCTTTTTTGAATGTCGTTGTCATAATTTCCGTGTGTCTTAATTGTCATTCATTTATTATTCGCAATTGATAACCCCGCTCACCCATTTCTTGTTTTATCAGCATTCTTTTACTCTTTAAAAATGGACAAATTCATCAATAGGGATCTATAAATTGAAATAAATAGCATGTAAAGAATTATGAGTTCCATCATGAGAAAAACAATAATGTTGTATCTCTTTTCTGACAGTTCTTTTCCCCCCTATTTTACGACATTTTCTTTATATCTTTTAACTGATTATAGAAATGATTGCCTTATAATATTAAAATGAGTTAAAATATGAAAATATTTATAAACCTGAAAGAGAGTTTCATTTTAATCTCATTGTTAAAGTTAGATTGTATATCATGAAATGATTAAAATGTTTAAAAACTAAAACAATATATGATAGGTGATACTCTAGATTTGGCCTCCAAAATAATAAACTATCTGTTGGGAACAGTTTCATATATATAATAGCAACTGCTAGTTTTTGTTATATTTCTATAAAAAGAAGACTGAGTTTAAAAAATGCAAATGATTTAACTATTTCTAGTCTGACTCTTTTTATATTTTCTTGAATAAAAACAAAACAGAATGGCTATGACCAAGTAACATTCTTATGATTAATCATTCAACTATTCTTTTTTTTAATTCTAAAATGCAACTGCCTTTTACCTTATTGCATATAAGTATACACGTTTTTTAAACTTTCCTCCTGGGAAATTACTTAACCACGTGACTGCAAAGAAGGTTCTAGCGGTGGGCAGCTGCTACCGGGAGCATGTGTCTATGTATCTCTAGTGTTTCAATGAACCAGAACAGGCCGTAATCTACCGCTTAACTACAACATATCCATGAGATACGTCTAGAAAAGAGATCTTTTCCTGTATTGTTTGTTCCCTTTCAATTATTAGACGAACTTTCTGGCTTTTAAGTCGGATAAACTTTAGGCTTTTCTCCACCACATATTTCCGTACCTATTTTCTTAAAAATACATGTATTACTATCTTTTATCCATTTTGATGTTTAGTATATGTTTGCAAATATCAAAATGAAAAAGGTTGTTCGCAATTAATAAAAATGTTTTACAGGAAAACTTAATTATCATTGAAAAATTGAAAATGTAAAATATCAATGAACCTAAAGGACAACTTCTTATCTTTTGTATCACAAAAAAACTAATTTGTTAATGTTACATATTCTTTATTATGTACCTTTGTTATTATTGTTGCCAAATGATGTACAAGTTGTCCAGAAAAAATGAAACAGACTGTAAAAAAATGCTGCATTTGATCATCAATTTAATAGCAAAAATGTATTATTGTTCAATATCAATTAAAAGGAAAATTAAAACAAACAAAGTACAATTTGTAAATCACAATGTAATGTCGAGAAACACGGACAGCTTAATTTAAACATTCACATGATTTAACCAAATAATACCCTACTTATAATTTTTTCTTAGATCACTTAATTATTACAATATTCTATGTATCAAATCTTTTATCCTTTCTAATACTAGTAATATTCCTATTGATGATCGAATACAAATTAAGCCGGTGCTCAATGGCAAGAGAGATGTTCCCTTTTCCTTCAAAATTACATTATACATTATACGAATCTCTGGAACAGACTAAATAAAAGTACGCCTAAGATCCTTGTTTTCATTGTTATGAGGTTTATGCCCAGATTTATTTTTCAAATTCAATTTTTTATCATACGAAAAGCTGACCAGACTCAACACTTTAGATTTAGGAAAATCAAGTCTTTTAATGCACAAGCATTGATGCAAATGTCGCCCATATAGATTCGTTTATTAAATTATAAAAAAACAGTGCAATCTATTTTTCGAGTTTATCTTTACCAAAGTTTCAGAATAATTTTAAAGAACTCATCCTTACTTTGAATATCCGGATGTTTAATGATATTTAAATTTTCCAACAGGACAAACCAGACTGTGATCATTCTAATAAAAAGAGTCTACTCTATAAATTAATGTATTGCTTAAATTATGTAAAATTAAATTGTAGTGGTACTTGTTTACTGTATTTTGAAAAAAAGGACAAAGGTAGAAAGAGTGTTTTGCAAAATGCATAACCTTATGGAATGCGAAACAAATGAGTGTGTAAAAATGAAGAGCATATCAACATGAATTATTTTGTCACTCATTTCAAAACAGGTTGTTAAAAATATGATAAAGATAATTTGTCAAAGTTGGTTTATGTTGAAACAGATGTGTGTTACAATGCCTAAAATTGATTGAACGGTTTATCAGTAAGGTACTTGAATCTATTAAACAAGCAAAACCCATTAAACAACACCCGATTTAGTGACAAATTACACCAAAATTAACTCGTTTTCATTGACATTTTAATCTTGCTGTATTTAATACAACTTTTAGACATAAGTTTCTGACATAAACTCTATAAAATACAGTTGATAAAATATTATGCATTGACACAAATAATAGCTTGGATTATACATGATACATATAATGGATTGAAGTGAAAAAATGTACACATGCATTGTTTTTTTACTTTTAAACAACAGCACATAAACTGAAATTAGATGTGCAAGGCACAGATGAAAATGATGCGGAAATACAAAAGCTCTAATACTCATATAAATACATTCAAAGTGTCTACAATATTTGATTTAGCAATGATAATGAACGACGCATTTTTAAGATAAGATTCTTTTTTTAAGAATATGTATTAGTTAAAAGTGCGGTTTGCTTACAACGGGATGCATTTGTATACCTGATATAACACTGCTGCCTGGCATTGAATTTCTAGTTAATGTAGATCAACTTAAGCTCTCTGTATGTGACAAAAATAGATATAAACACGACTTTACTTCACATGAAATGGGAAGGGATATTTGGACAAAATAATCTTATAATAAAATTTTCGCATGAATTGTATTTCACTGGTCAATGAATGAATACGAGAAAGTATAAAAAAGTCACTCTGTTGTAGATTAGAATTCCTTGCCTTTTTACTGATATTTTCCTTTTGATCCATCTATCTAAAGACTGTGGTGTAACTGCTTTTGTGGCGCGTTTGATGTGAGATAACCACTGCCATGATTGTTTGATATGTGTAACAATATAGCGTTCATTTAGTTGTAATTCTAAACACTACTCACTCTTTTTATGATCCTGGAATTTCAAATTACATACTTCCCGTGTATATGAGATCCTAAATTATGATCACAATTTCTTTTGAGACATCTAGTTGAATTTCAAAACAAAACACGAATGTTGCTTACACAATCTGTTGGAACCATTTCTCATATTATTTTTCAAAGAAATTAATGTTCACCATCGATAAGCTTTTTCAATTGTTTCCCGTGTGGCCTCAAGTTGGTAATGTCCTCTACAATTGATCACAAATAAAAGGCTTTTAGGATAGTGAATCCGTGAGTGTTTATATAACTATAAGAAACGGATTGAACATTCTTACAGTCTCTAACAAAAAATACTGTATCATTATTTTCAGCTTTGTAAATACATAGGTTGAACTGTTTGTTTCATTCCGTAATAGTTCATGTTATAATTCTGGCTTATTTGGTGAGGATTGTTCATAGGTTCACAGGGCATAGGCATGGGTGCTGATTGAGACATCGGTTGGGTTGGAGCCCTGAATCCTAAAATGTCATTCACAGAGTGTGATGATGCCCAGGCTCGCATCATACAAGGAGTAACACAATTTGACATCTGTGATTTATTGTTCATTTGATGATTTAATTGAGGGAAGCTTGGCTGAGGAGCTGGCATTGGTGGAGGAGCACACGAAGGCATCGAGGGAGGAGGGCACGAGTATTGATACATTGGAAACTGAGGGTTATATAGCGGCCCTGGTGGTGGTGGGCCCATTATGTTCTTTGATTCCATGTTTGGACTTTGACTGGTAGGTGAAGTACTCCCTCCAATTTTGTTTCTAAGAATCCGACTTATTGAGCTCACTGAGGGCACATTGTATTTGTCACAGACTCCATCCGCTAGCAATTTATCCCTTATTTCCCAAGCAAATATCCCTGGATCCCTCTCCTTGTATATCTTTATATGTTTAACAACATTGGGTGTTGTAACTCTTGGCTTGCTGCCACCAATGGCTCCAGGAAGTATAGAGCCTGTTTCATTGTATCTGGCAAGTATTTTGCTAACACATCCATGAGAGACTCTTAGTTGTCTGGATATATCACATGGCCGAACTCCCATTTGGGCAAGTTCTATAATTCTAAGTCTGATTGCATTAGGCAAGGGGCGGCCGTTGACAAACACCCCTCCAAGTTGATTTACTTCACCGAATGTCGTCTGTTCTGTAATGATATAATATAAAAAAACTTATTGTAAATCATATTTTTTTTATCATTAGTTTTGTGTCAAATTAAATATAGTACAAACAAATACCTATTTTATGTTGCAGTTATTCATTTTAATATTTTAGTATAAAACATAATACAGCTATAAACATGTTTTTATAAATAACTAACAATTATTTGCAAAGTGTGAACATATTGTTTTATTATAAAAATAGATAAAAAAAAAAAGCAGATACACTTTATAGCATCTCTGAATATGATCATTATATTTTAAATTCCAAATCTATGTCAGACATCTTATGGGTTATTAAATACAACTTATGATGATGTTTGATAAATTGTGTATTAATGGATTGTTCAGACTTTAAAATTGGCGACTGTGATAAATAATTTGGCATTTACTACTTTCAGTAATTCAGTGTTATTAAAATAGAATTAACCAACTTGTAATGAAGGATTTTAGTACCAGTTAGTATGAGCAAATATTGTTCATTGTTTTAGTTACATTTTAATCTGGTTTTGATATATCATATTATTTATATATACATGCATATATAAAAAGAATCCGGACAAAATTTCCATAAGTTGTTGATGTTTAACTAAATATTGTAAATAATCAGGGAAAGGTTTATGTTTATTGAGCTGCCTTTTAATGTAAGATATAAAAATTAGATATAATTAAATGACATTAATACTTGTATTTCCAATGCCAGCCTCTTTATTGTAAAGACTAGAGCTGTCACAATTTGATATACAATTCAACCATCTCTGTTTATTTGCCTTAAAATGATTAACTGATAGAAGTTTCCATTGTAACATTTTTATACCGATTTCTAGAATGTTTATTTGATAAAAATTCACATCAAAGTCATGCCCCGTCCTAGTTATCTGAAATAAATGGACCGGTAGGGACAGTGGGCACTGTAATGACCCCAGTGGGAACTCTTCGGAATTCTCGGCTAATTCAATCAACGGATAAATTGCTATTTCTCGGCTTTCGTTCACTTTATTGATACGGGAGGCCATAAATCTTTAAAACTATCAGGATATGCAAATATTTGGTTTCAATTATAGAATCAGTCATTTGAACTTTTATAGACACTTGTGAAATCAGTGACATATTTCCAGGTATTTTCACCGGTGAAATATTGCTATAATTCAGCAAATATAGAATATTCAGGTTTTATGCATGTATATTCAAGTCATAAATAGAATATAATAAAACCGACATTATACAGATATGATATATAAACTATGACTTCTTTATGAATTTATTTAGATAATAAAATGTTACTAAAGGATATACACTTGTTTATACACAGGTTTAGCTATGAGTTTTAGTTTATAAGCAGGAGTTATGATTTCATTTGCATATGTACGTATAAACTGTAATTTAACCTGTACCACAATTGTTATATATTTAATGGTCATTTCCATCTTTCAATCTAGAAAATTAAAAGTAAGTACAGTACAGACCATGGGTAGACTCATTTGCCGCCAGTAGGCTAGGGTTAATTGTGAATCTTTTATAACGTATCGTTTCAATATTTTTTAAACCAAAACTTGGTAAAATCTGACGTAATTTCTTAGTCATGTAATTTTAACAAAACAAAATAATATATTAGTCAAAATACATTGACGTGCCAAAGCTAGATTCTGAGATATTTCTAAGATATTTTTCGTTCTGGGTCTGGTAAGTTGGACTAAATAATATATTATATTAAATCAAACACAAACGAGTGGCGGAACAATTTGAGATTCACATTTTGCATAAATAACAGCATCTAAATAAACGAAAACATATAGAATTTGCATATTTGCAGATAAAATAAGATAAAATAAGATCCGGAATTTTTCCAAAAGCACACACAAAGTAGTTTCAAAACGACACAAAATTTATTTATTTATTATGTCATAATCATAAACCGTTTCTAACAAACACATGAGCATGTAATGAAAATTTTGCAGATGTAATATAGAATAAAAAGAATAAAGAGTAAGAATACCATCAAGAAAGGAAGACTTATACATATATTTGAGAAAGAGTTATAAGCTGCAATAGAAAACAAATTTTAGAGTCCACAAAGAACGTTATGTTCCTTGCAAAATATGTGGTCAAGTTAACCATAAAGATTCCTGTCCAACGCATTAAGATATTTGTGACAAGAAAAAAGAATGAAATTTTCGGAAATGAAATAACGAACAATTTATTACAAACAGCGAAAAAATCACATACATATTATTTGCAGAGAGTGTCCTGAATGAACCCATATTAGCTTTATTTACATATCATTTACATACTTGAGTGTTTCAAGACATATCTAATGTTTGTTTATTGTATATTTTCCACACTTACAAATTTCTTACAGACCATCTGGAACTATATAACGGCACAAGAGTATGAATCTATCAGTTTTGATCTAACTCTCCCTTCAAATGCATCAACACGCCGGTTTGTAAAATACATTATAAGAATTTTGATAGCTCAAATCTGGAAAATGGTCATGAAAAGTGTTCACACGAGTTTCAAATAAAAAGTTAAAGGAACATGCTTCCCATTACCAGGTGTTCAAATTTCTATAAACTCGTTGTTTTGAAAAAAAAATGATAATAATAAAATATATGCACTTGGTTTTCTCTTAAATCAGTACATTATAATCATTTTTATTATTATTTCACAATTCCTTTGAATACAGGATTTGATAATAAATATATTAAAAGGCGTTTGACAGTGGTCCGCTTAGGCATTTTTCAAAGGATTGCCGTTTCGAAAATGAAAATTCAGAAGATAAAAAAACTGTGCATCGTTAACTAAAATATATTAAATTAGACCATTTCTGGACTCGAAAAAGTTAAAGAGAGATTTAGATAAAATCTTTCTAGAATCTTATTTCCACATATAAAAAAATCTTAGCTCCATTTTGAAAATCTACCAGAACATATTTTTCATTTATTTTAATTTCATTTGTAAGCTACTAGTTTAACAAAATAAGACCTGTGGTATTTGCGCCATTCCGATAAACTTTATAAAGAAATACAAAATAAAAACAAGGAACGAAAACTCGACAAATATTAGAAAAAAAAATTCAAAATCATTCAAACAGTACAATATTATGTTTCTTTGTAATGATTTATTGGTTTTCATAAATATGGTAATATACTAGTACTAAGCTATAGCTCTGTCAAGTTATATTACTGTAGACGGTAGCTTGCACTAACTGCTACCGTTCACGAACACCGCGCCTGCAACATTTTCAATTTTGCCGTGCGAGGCATTCTTCAAAGAAACATTTTTCTGTATTTTAAAATATATATCTAATAAATAAATAGATTCCAACCTACCCATAAGGGAACTTGACGATAATCCGTAGCAGGCCAGCTTGTCCCTGTCTAGATCCGACGACTCCAGTGTTGCGTTTTAATTATTATTCTCCTTTCAATTTTAAATATGAATGATAAAAAAACGCTCCCGTGTTGCCTAAATGTAAATTTAGCAAAACACACAGAAGGAAATGAAGCAAAACGCAAATCTCGTCAAAAGGCATGAAAGTTTACAGAAAAGTTGAGATAAAACTAATTTCGAGTGGTTTTCTTTCAAGTTCAGCCCACTGATAAGCCGTACGAGCTGTAATTGGTCGTCCTTTTCGCTCATTGGATGATAACAAGTTTGCCCGCCAATCATATGGAAATATAAACACCTACCTGTGAATTTCGAGGAGAATTTCTAAACAATTACGTTTTCTAGGCAATTTGAACGTCGTGGAATGAATCCAATAAATTATATACGAGTTGCTGTTGAAATTGTGTTCAAATATTTTGCTATGCTCGCGTGCCTTTTCAAATTGACGGTAAAACTCCATACTATGCCTTTTGGTCACAGTTCAAAATAAGAATTTGCTACCGAGGACATAGGTGGTCGAAAAGCAGTAAATGGTTTGATGTCCGTACCAACTGTTTTAATTTTTTATGTGCTGTTATTTCTAAATGTATCCCCTGTGCAGCAGTTAGATCACAAACCATTATTTTGACATCAAAATGTATACATGTACGACCTTGAAATACATGTATCTTGCTTATCATATACTTGGATTTTGTACAAATATTTGATTAAAAAGTTGGCTGACGTTTTTACAACGCGGATATCTTACGAAAAGCAAACATTCTTAATTTGATAAAAATGCGTTAGAGCGTTGGCGGTTAAATAAAATAACGAATCATTCTCCAATTGTTTCACAGTTATATTATCTAAGTCTGGCAGGCAATCGTGTTTGAATAAGATTCATCTAATTTTATTAAATCTCAAATATATTTCTGAAATTTAAATTTAAACGATTCATCACATTATACTGTAACCTGCTGGAACCGAAGTTTATTAGATATGCACGTCCGTGCAGTAAGACAATGCTCTGTATATTATTGGTTGCAAATTTCGGATTTTGATATTGAAATCCCTTAATTTTGAATTGGACTTAGTCAAGTTCAAAGCTGAAGAATTCAATGAAACATTTTTAGCATGATTATGGTTAACTCGGATTAGGATTTATAGCTCCCTATACGCTAGCGGATATCTAAGTCAAAAGTCAGACCAATCAACATCTATTTTGTTGGACGGTGTAGGGGGGACTGTGTTCCTTGAAGATTTGCAGTCTGGCCAGACCAGATACTTTTTCTTCTCAATTTGACCATTTGAATATTGAATCGAAATGCCGGATAATTTCATTACACAGATTTAGCAGAATAAATAAAATGTGATATTTGTTGTTCGAGAAATACATTGTTTACTAGTATATGTTTCGTTATAAACTAGACATTTCTCAGTTAAATTCAATGAGACGTCAACAGCAAAACATAATTTTCAAGTTTGATAACCACATATCATTGTTTTTTAATCAATAAGCATAGTGGTCCTTTATTTATAGAAAAGGCTTTAATTGTGTCACTTTTTAACCATTGTTTAATCAAAGCTATTATTGACAAACAAATCAAAACCATTTTTTTATTTTTTATTTTTCTGTGGTTTTACGAATCTGTATATTTGTTATATATTCTTATACTAGTAGAAAAACCGCACAAAAAACCATAAACCAGTAAGTCACTTTGTTTCGTCAGAATAAGTCCGTCGTGAAGAAGACATCCTGATGATTTCATTACTGTATTCAGCAATTCAAACGTACTTAAGTGATGCGACGTGAAACCATTCGCTTACTATTTCAAGTGAAGCAGTGAGCTCCCCTGATGGCGCGTCAATGTTAAATAGAAACTGTATCGAAAATATGATTTGCATTTCTTGTTCCAGAAGATTGCACTTCGATTCATGTAATTTACGTTACTCGGGATCGTTATAACAAAGCCGTAACAAAATGTTTAAAAGATGATATTTGTAACGTTTTATTTAACACCACTAGTCTGCGGAGCGTTTTCAGGTATCTACGATTACCCGACGGTGTCTTTATCAGTTAAAACAAAAATTCTTATGCAAAATTCCACTGCAGAAGTACGTGCACATGTTTTTATGTTGAAAGGATGTGTTTGCGGAGGTAACATGTAGTCTAAGGTTTGCTTTTTTTTCGTCTATTCATTTTATTATATAATGGGAAACTGGATACGTTGAAAGGAAAACAAGCATCTTTTGGCACTATTCATTGTAATTTGTTTAATGATACATTTTATTTACTTTTAAATATCTCAGTTGATTCTGGAAAACTTTTTGACGTTTTTAGAAGTACACAAAAAGAAAATTAATAAGAAATATAGAAACTTGAATGTTACTTAAAACATTTGTTGAACATAAATTATATGGCATGAAATTCAATTACACTGAAATAATTTGAGAAAACGCGACAAAAATTTGTTTTGATGGCTTTGCAAATTCTTTGAAGATCACTATTAAAACATAATCGCAGAGGAAAGGAAAAAAGCTAAAGCTTCAAATATAAGTGGAACGATGACAAAGCGGTGAAATATTTCAACTCTCTGAGGGAGGGGAAATATGAAATAAGATAAGTTCTAGATCTGTGAAAACTATCTACCATTTATTCCCCTGTTAAATCTGTATGCAAAATGTATACACAGTCTACTTCCTCTTTGAAGCTCAGAGCATGCGGTAATTAAAAATTTCTGATTGGTTTATCATATGTCTAACCATCTAAATCTAGATCTATGTGAGAAAAATACGACCTTACTCGACCTTTGCTAGCGTTTCCCAAGATGCTTGACTCGAATTTGAATATTGATCACGACTTGAAATTTTAGAGACATGAAAAAAGATATCATTTAATTTCAGCTTGAACCTATTCGGTAAACTGCGAACAGTACTCTGCATATATTAAGGGACGAATTATCTTTCCGTTAATAGGGCTGGATAGGTGGCAAATTAACAATTTACTAATTTACATTCGTTAATTGCCTGTTCTCGGATACAAAAATACTGAATTGTTTATATTAGTTTAAGCTTAACCACTATTCGTAGCTATTTTCTTTGGATATTTTGATATGATTTTACATGAGTTTATCGCAGGAATTGGATTATAATTATATAACTGTTAATACTATTTATGTTAAATGATTAATTCATGTTTTTATTTATGACCAATGCATTTCATGTATCCAAATGTGTTGATAAAATATCGAATAATGATATTTGAAATATTTTCAAATTTCAAATTTCAATTTTCTTTATGCAATATAAAGTTAGTTAAAAAGTTTTTCTGATAACTTTCTAATATTTTTGCTGTTTACGCGTTTTCAAAATATTGCCTTTAAGTCGCTTGAGCGTATATCTTTTTAATAAATTGTCACCGATTTAATTATATACACATATCTCTTAGTTCAAAATTTAAGAATCATCATGGATAATATTCATTTTACTTTCAATATATGATGCAGTTGCTATATTTTGACGGTGTGTTGTAAAGATTCTGTAATACATCTTTGTATTACAATATAATATTAATATCACAAGTCAAACATACAAATTGTATTATTAATTTTTCATGAATAAAAAAGCTTTAAAAATATCTCTTGTGCATTTTCATTGTAAGTATATATATTTTTTTCAATTTCGGCAATTTATCAATCAATTATAAAGCGAACGCAGTTTAATGTTTCTGTTAGTTTTTATAATAAATGTTCAGGTAAAATGGGCATCTATAAGATTTAAAATATTAATATTTCTGTTAGCTGTAACATGACTACACTCATTAGAATCTTTAGAATAAGAAAAAACGTTCAAACAAATAATATCCATGTCGAAAATCGTCAATGCGAATTCAAATTGCATTTCTAAAATAGCTTAAGCAAAATATTAAAAAGAAAAAAATATATATCTATGCTTATTTCATTCTATAAACACATTATTTTATATATCACTACGCAGATATCATTCCAGTAACAGACAAAAAAATACTCAACAAGAATAGGGGAATTAGGGATATATTTTTATTCAATTCCGAAACGAAACGTCAACATGTGTTATCATTTGTACAACAGTTTAAGCTATATCCAGAGAATTGCATTAAGTTTTGAGATAAAAATTGTAGTTAATAACGGATAACCTCATATAGTTTTATTATTATTAGTTTAACGAGCATTTATCAAATGATATGTATCTTTTTGATATTCAATAAACATGTAATATGAATTTATAGAAAGGCGCAGTATACGACATACAAGCTATCTGTAATAATAATTATGAAATTTCTCTTATTCATTTAATCAATGTCATTTTATCCAATGTTTCGTCGATTAAAACAACTGCAATACTGAGTACTGATGTACTGAAATACACGATGGTACACTGTGGAAGTGTAAAACGCTTCGGTAACATTTTAAAACTCGGGCTTTGCCAAACATTTTCAGAAAATACTGTTAACATATTCTTCTTAAATGACAATTTCCAGTCTTCTAAAATGACAATTTCCTGAAGGAGAAAGCATATTCATTTTGCTAGATTCTATATTTCAAGTTACAATCTCTGTCTTTTTAAACCGATAAATTAGTAATATTGATAGATATAGGATAAAAACGTATAATGAATAAGGTATTGTACCATTCGCTTTTTCAGGTTACAATATAAATAAAACTGGAGCAGTTTTATTATTATAATAAAAGTACCATCGTCATTTTCCAATATTAAAAAAACATTTGTATCTTTATTTTGAAATTAAGAATTGTTCTTTGTTTCTTCTTCTCTATGTTTTGATATATGTTTCCGAAATTATAATAAGTAAATTCTTACCAAATGCAATATTTATTTATAAGGAAAGATTGAATTGTTAACACATATATGATAATTTTCTAGTTAAAAATCAGGTGCACAGTTTATCATTTTATTTAATCGGTTTCATGTTTATTTGACTAATTCAATTAAAAGGATACTAAAATTAACTTTAATCAGAAAAGGAAGTCATTTTATTAATGTATTCATGAAATATTACAGAGGTATACACGATTGGAAGTATACTGTATTTATAATGTCATATTATAAATAAATAAAAAAGCATGTTGTTTGTACGTTGTAACGCGTAAAAAGATTATTCTGAATATAAATGTTTGTTTAAATGAAA